AGGTTTGCACTCAGTGCTTCCTGACATAGTGTGAACTCTTTCAGTGTGTGAAGCCTAGAACCAAAGTATTCCCCACTCAAGAAACTGAACATCCTTGTAGATTCTGAGACTGCACGGTGTCTGTCCCACGGAAAAAGAGCAGCCCTCAGAGTAGAAGGTCCAATTTCCTTTTCCTGTTTGCTGTCTTTGTATAAAAGGGCGGGTGGGGGGGGGTGCTGGTGAAGGAGCAGACACATGCCACTATTGGAGCCGGTGACACTACACCTCTGCTCGTCCTCTCTGCTACTGTCATCAGATTGATCCAAGCCATCACTCTCCTGGGCCCTTTCTTCCTCTTCTTCATCCCCCTCCAGGCACTCCCAAGTGGCCTTGTTGTAGCCTACTGTCTGTTCCCAGAAAGAAAACCACCCAGACCGCGGACAAGTTCAAAAGAAAAAGTTTTATTACCTGCACAGGGACCGTCAGCCCTCTTGAGAGGAGACCGAGCAGTGGCCTGTCGAATTTTCCAAAGACGTTTATACTTTTGCAATGTGCAGGTATGCAAGTAAGCAGAGGGCAGAAGCAGGATATTGAGGTTAGCCATTCTTAGTCAAACAGTCACTGCTCTTAGTTGAACAATAATCACTCTCGTTGTTCTTCCAAGCCTTTTGAAGATACATTTCCTTCGGTACAGTCCGTTGCGCTTGTCAGCACAGCCGGCATGCCTCCCTAATATCCTCTAGTTCATTTATAGTTCATAGCTAGTTCATTGATAGTTTATAATGGCTTCTGTCAGCTCAGAATGGCTTCACTCTTGTCCAGGCTGTTTAAGCTTTTCCTAGAGCTGCTACAGTCTCCGTCTTAGCCTTGTTCTTGGTGTCCTGTCTACTGAAATAAACGTTGATGGTTGTTTTCTCCTGTCATCTTTGCTGGGAATTATGTTGGCCTCCACATATCGACTCAACCTCCCCATTCCTTGCAATATGTTCCTCTGCTTGCTGTCTTTGCTGCTGCTGCAGCCTCCGCTGCTCCTTTTCAGTCACGTAAGGTAGGGGGTTACCTTCCAGTTCCTCGCCTTTTGCTGCCCAGAGAAAGCAGATCCTGATGTATTTCCCCAAAGCCAGTTTGCTACTTCCTGGACCTCGCCTAGCCTGTCAGAAGATGTTTTCGCGCTCCCTCTGACCAAGTGATACCACTTCTGACCATCTGTCTCAAGGAAGCAATCCAACTCTAGATAGCCTTCTGAAAACCCTGCGGGTCGTGACCATGACCCTGAGGAAGAGGGCGGGGCCCTTCCCCTCTGGGCGGTGAGGTGGCGATGGCTGCAGGATGGTAGAGGAAGCAGCAGTGCCTGGTGCTCCAGGGCCCTCCCCCCCTACCTCCTCCTTATCTCTTCCTGCATCTCTTCAGGATGTGACTTCTGCCAGTTGGGGGCCACTTACTTCACTGGGCAGGCACATTAGAGGCGCTGGATTTTATCATGATCCCAATTCTACCTTACAAATCTGGCTAGACCAGAGGATATACATTGGCACAGATAGCAATTGGAAACACAGGGAATCCAGGACAGGTGACTCCTTCAGGACCAGTGGTGAGAGGGGCGATGCTTGGAGGGTGAAGGGAATGTGGGGTAGAAAGGGGGAACCAATTACAAGAATCTACATATAACCTCCTCCCTGGGGGATGGACAGCAGAGAAGAGGGGCTGAGTGTGGGAGGGGGGAGACGTCGGACAGTGTAACTTATGACAAAACTATAATAATTTATGAATTATGAAGGGTTCATGAGGGAGGGGGGAGAAATGAGCAACTGATATTAAGGGCTAAAGTAGAAGGCAAATGTTTTGAGAATGAGGAGGACAACAAATGTACATATGTGCTTGACACAATGGATGGATGGATGGATTGTGATAAGAATTGTACAAGCCCCCAGTAAAAAAAATTTTTTTTAATTTCCACTGGGCAGATGCTGCAGTCAGCCCCTCCCCCCATCTTGCCCCAACACGCCCATCACGCTACTGGAAGCCCTGGGGTTGGCAGGAGGCCCAGAAAGCTGGGGAGGTGGGGCTCTGCGACTGGGCAAGATGCCTGAGCGGGCTGAGAGGGAGGGGAAGGTCCCGGCCTCCGTTTCACAGCAGGGACCCAGGCCCCCACCCCTGGCCTAGGGATGCCTTCAGAGAGTGGGCCAAGGGCTCAGTGAAAGGGGATTCTATGGCATGGACAGGTAAACCAGGAAGTGGCGAGCAGGGAAGCCGGCCCCCCTCCGCCCTCCCAAAGCTCAGGCCTCTCCAGAGCTCGCCCCCACCCCCACCCCCTCATGCTCTGAGGTGCAGCTGCCCAATCCACGGGGCCACCTCCCTGCTGCCATCCAGTGATTCAACCTGGGCTCCCCAGCGAACACTTCTCAGCCCAGCCCCAGGCTCAGAACCAGACAGGATTCAGACCAGACTCAATCCCAGCAGTCCCAGCCGACCCAGACCCAGACCCAGACCCAGACCCAGCAGACCCAAACCCAGCAGACCCAGACCCAGACCCAGCAGACCCAGACCCAGACTCAGACCCAGACTCAGACCCAGCAGA